CACACAAACAAACACAAAGACAGAAGGAAAATAAATTTTTAATTTTGGTTGACTTAAAAACCTAGCATGGGTTGAAGAAACAAGAAAAATATGGGAAAAACTGCAGATCATGCCCTTAGATTTGGAATCTGTTTCCAAAATTTGGATTAATGTAGTGTAATTTTCTAAAAATGGATGCCGAAAAAAGAAAAAAAACCTGTTTCTTACCCGGAGGTAATCTCTATCACACACATCCACGGTTGTGCCAGGCTCCAGGTCAAAGTTCAAAAACAACAACCTGACACATGCTTGATTGTTTGTGATGGTATAAATACAGTCCTGGTTTGGAGGATAATTTCCAATTCCATAGTTTGGTGATCCAATTGTTTGAGAACCAACTAATACAACCTCATCACATCCTGCAACATAAAATTCATAAATGCAATCAACTTTAGCGGGTAGTAATTTTCTCTGCAATAAGACATTGAGGAGATATGTACACAAGGAAACATTGTTCAGACTAATTTCTGAAAATCATTTTATCATTGGAAAATCATTTTCTTTATATTTATATGAATGTATGAATATAATACATTGAAATATGCAAATTAAGATGCCAGAGCAGGGGAAGGGGCTTCCACCATTCATATGCAAATTATAAACCTCCACAGTTGCATTCATATGCAAATTATACACTGCTAGCATTGTATTCATATGTAAATTGTAAACTGCATTTTTCGGTAAATTGTAAATTAACTATTCATTGCAAATTTAGCAGAGGAGTGAAGTCTTGAATCTAAGAGGAAGGAAGGAGTTTTTTAAAACTATATTCCGCACTTCACAAACCAGGTGACATACACAATTATGGTGTAGACATCCACAACTAAATTCACACATACAAGCTGGTCGAGTATACAATTATGGTACATGTACAAGAAGTACATCTACTACTACTTCATACATACCAGGACATGGTTGTGTATTGCAGTCTTCAGATTCAAATGGCTTTTGTCCAGTACAAAGATTATCCATAACAACAGCTCCTGAAGATATCAACTGACATTCTACAGTTCGAGTACGAGAGCCACCACCACAGTCAAGTGAGCACTAGAACATAAAACAAGCCACGATTTAGAATAAAATGAACTCTATGGTTATACAGTCTTGGCTGTGTTCTACTGATACATAGTTCTATACAACATGTGAAACATTTTCTAACATGTAAAAACATAGTTGAACTCTGGTGACCTTGCCCTTTGTTATATAATATAATTCCCTTTATCATAGTTTGTTTCAATATAAATATGCATTGTCATAATTAATTTTGAATACAAACAAGTTTTGGGGTTGAACCAACAGTGGGGAATCAGTCTACCGAATGTCCTTAAAAGATGTAAATATCTTACAAAAACATTGGTGCCTTATTTGTTTAATTATTTTAAGGAACATAATTTCCAGCTTTATTGAAAGTAATTGAGATATTTTAGAATAAAAAATGTCTCATTGCAAGAAAAAAGTGCTGCATTTAGATGTGAATAGATTCATAAAACATGCAAGATAACAGAAAAATTTAGCTGGCTTTAGTTCAAGTATTTTGTACAGGCGTCTGTCAAAAATGAATGATTCACTGAGACAAATATGAACTGCCTCATTGTGTGACTACTGTATTATATGAAAAGTAAAAAAAACACCCTTTATGAATAGCTATCATGTTGCAAGCTCTGCTTTGTATGCAAATC